GTATGGGGGAACACATCAAAAGAAGTGGTTTCATTCTGGCGGATGCCTTTTGGTTAGTGGAGTTAAATGTGTAACTTCCTAGATAGATTTGTTTTGAAATGTCACTTCATTCTTGGTGAGATTTTGTCCACTGAGGATTTTCCCTTAGCTGAATGCCTAAGAAGCACGAGGAGCTTGACTGCTGGATCCTGAAAATCAGCACCAAACATCAGTATAAGAAGGGGAACTCTACTTGTCACCTTGTATAAATATAGGTGGACAGTTCACTGGCTCTCACTTCTCTAATTCCTAACACAGAGACGCAGACTCAATGAGAGAGCTTTTCATAATAGATATTAATTTTATTTGGAAGTCATTCAGGCACTGTGATGAAAGGTGGAATTATAAAAGTCGTGGAGAACTGTGTGTGTTTATAGTGGCAATCTTCGGCTAAGGTAGAGACTAAAGGTTTTAGCTGTCTTATTTAAAACAAAAAGCAAGCACTGAGATATTTATTTCTTGTTAGTGTAGATCTATAAACACTTTGTAAAGCAACAGAACTGCAGGATTTTTGCCTCATGCTTTGCAGAGAAGTGCCCTGTGCAGTGCTGCGGTGTAAAGAGCAGGGACTGTGTGACGTCTGCTTCTCACTGCAGGGTAAGCTGCAAGTGCTGACAGTGTGACTGCAGGACAGGATTCCTCCCTACCTGGTGAAGGTGTCCCTTATGCAGTGCTGTCTTTGGGTGAATCCATCAGTGCAGCTGCCTGAGCCTGCTGTGGGTGGAGGAAGGAAGGGGTCAGGACGGCATTCAGCTATAGCTCATAGTTGTTGTAAGACAACCAGATTTTAAGTATGATCTATTCCTGTTAAATACTGAAAATAAATTTTTGAACTTTTCCTCATTCAAGACTAAAATGCATGATAAGATGTGCAAGTCCGAAGTGTGAGATAAATGGCAAATAATAGCCCAAGCAGCTTTTGTGCTGTAGTTGTTCTCTCCCCTTGGCAAGGACAAGCACACTATCTATATTTTAAGAAGTTTCATCCTCCTTAATACACAGCATTGGGTAAACATGTGGGTTATTTCCCCCAGATAGCCCTTGACCGGCTCCTGAAAATTCCCTTATAGGGCAGGAGGGAAGAAAGCATTTTGCCCTTCCCAAGAACCTTCACAGAGGCTGTGCATCCTGCCAGACACCAGCGCTGACGGTCACTGCTGCACGCTAATCCAATCTCATGCTGTCTCTCTCCTGGAGATCGCTTCCAGTTCTCAGCTGCCTGGGTGATGTGAGCCCCAGTGAGCCCCACGGCGTGGCTGGCAGCGTGATGCGGGGAGCAGCCCGGCTCATTCACTCGCTTGCTGCCTCCCAGCAGGGAGCTCATGGCTGCCGGATGCAGAGGGACGTTTCTGACACATCTCAGGCAAGAGCTCGATGGCACTGTTAATAGAGCATGGCTGTCTCATTTGTAAGCTCTATTCATCTGACAGCTGAGAATTATCGGTACTGATGCTTCACTCCCTCTCTCTTTTTCTCTAAGCTAGTGATTTGTCTATGTTATGGGTAGGCAAGCTTGACAAAACATTACACATTAGCAGCTGAGACGGTGTTTGAAATGGGAAAATTGCTAGCAAACTGCTCCATTAGAGACCAAGTAACAAATTCTTTCTTTCCTTCATTGAAAGAGAGATAGTTAAGGTCCAAATTAATACAACTGTCTCCCCCACTCTGCAGGGGAAATCATTCTTCAAGACAAATGGCTTCGTCACCCCTGGGAGCTGAGCTGGCTCTGCAAGGCTGCCTTAGGGAGAGCTTTTAACCTTTGTGTTTTGCCATCCTGGGTGTGAGCAGTACAGGCGCCAGCTGAGGAGGTGATGAAAAGATTTGCACCTCAGTGAACTCTGAGATGGATTAGCATGGGAATTTGAGTGCTTATTCTTTGCTCTGGGATCATTTGTCATATCTAACTGCATAGTTTGCTGTTGTTTTTTTTTTTTTTTTTCTCTGATATGTTTACTTTTTGCTCTTATTGCTGCAAAGTTATTCAGAAAGAGCGAGAAGAAGGAAGACTTTATCCTGTCTAACATCGTGTTGTTACAAGAAAAATGTATCTGAATCCATTGGATCCTCATACTCTCCAATCTCTGATAACATATTAGAGAGGGGAAAGGAAATTGTTCTTGTCCTTTGATGTTGTTGTCGAAGGCAATAAAATAAAGCTTCAAGAGGCAGACAGCACTGCTTCATGTCAGGAGGGGGGAGATATGCTTCAATTCATCCAAATGATGCAGCTGGCAGCAGGCGACAGGCACAGTGAAATGGGTGACTGAAAGGAGGAACAAAAGCCCCTGAGAGGTTTGAACATGGCCAATTTATTTTATCAGCCTTGATATTCAACTTGTGTAGCCTTTTAAATGGATCTTATTATGAAATACCAGAGGAAAATTGAGTAAAATTTTATTGAATTGTAAGAAATCTTTAATGTGGCAGACAATAGTTCAAATGATCAAAGTTTACTCTTTTAGGGCTTCATTTCATGTACAGAGTTCTCAAATGTATTGTAAAACTAATTTATAGAGTATTCCAATGATGCACAAAGTAAATCATCTCGTTCCTTTGCACTACTGCAGGTTGTTTTATAGTGTGTCAGTGCTTCATGGGATGCACGGACAGACCATGAAAGAAACAGTTTTCTGAGGCCATGTTTGGGTATAGCAGCTAGCTTCAAGTTCAGCTGCATTTTGTTCCCAGCTTGGAATCCACTTGAGATCAAGGGCTGGTGAGAGAGGCTCAGCCTGCCGTACCACTTGTTGCTCCTGTGTGAGCATCAGCAAACTGCAGTCACAGTGCACCCAGCAGAATCACCATGTATAGCCTTTAGTCCTTCTTTGACAAAGAGCCTCGTACAGTAGGAAGATGTGAGGAGTTAAAGTGGCAATGCAGCAGCAGATGACAGCAGCCTTATTCATCTCTTGGCCACCTGCTGCAAATGTTCCAGGAAAGGGCAATGCAGGTAGTGCTGTGGAGCAGCCCTTCTATATTCCTCTCTGCCTTCTCTAGAAATCGGCCGTATGACTCAAAGTCTGACGCTACTCCAATTTTGGCTTTTTTTGCCCTTCGTGGGGTTATTCTGTGTGGATTTACACTTCCGAGGGACTGAAACGTCCTTGGAATTTGAAGCAGTTATAAAACAGGGCCGTATTTCCCTCCTGGTGGTGTGTTCGGGTTGCACCATAAGGACAGCTCTGTGCCTGTGTGCCATTCCCATCCGTAGAGCAAGGAGCTGGGCAAGCTTTGTTCCTAGAAGTGTCTGCTTAGAAACATTTGGGCGGAGTTACCGAACTGGCAAGCTGACAAAAAGCCTTTATGGGAAGAGTGTACCGCTAATTCTGGTGACAAACACCCAACAATAGCAGTGTGCTGAGCGTGCAGCAATCTGCATGCACTGCGGGCTTGCCAGGAACGATGCGCGTTATATTTAGAGCAACTGGGAGGGAAATCTCAGATGCTAATTCAAATCACAAAACAAGGAAGAGAATTAACTCCGATCGCAGCCTTTAAAATAGACTACTACAGAAATAAAAAAGTCTGTGCAAATTGGCTATACAAATATCTCAGTGTTCATGGCTTAAATAGCTTCTCAAAGCGTAACCGAGCTGGCAAAATACCGTGTTTTCAAGGGAATTTTTTTGCCTGTTGAAAGCACAGATCAACAGAAGGATACGCTGTGTGGTACAGGGCTGATGGGCTGTACTCCTTTTCTCTGCACCCTTCCACAGTCCTTAAAAACCTTCGTTCAGTTCTGCCTGTTTCTCATTTTACCTCTGTTCCTGGTGTTTATTTTTTTTCCTCCCCTCTGCACTGCTGCAGCAGCCCTAAATAACTCCAGTGGTTCCTCCCTTCACTCCACTGTCTTCATATTTCAATTCTTAAGCATTTCCAACCAGAGATTTCTGCTATTGTAACTTTCTTTTTATCACAAAACAACAGCAACAACACAACTTTTGAATAGTAAGAGCTAGGTAAAAGCAAAGCATGCTTTCTATTCCTGCTGTATTCGCGTGACTTCAACTGCCACGGACATTTGGATTTGTTGTATGGGGGGCCTTGTTTTACATTTATAATTGAGATGCATATTTAGGGTTCATGTGAGGAGAAAGCAGTCCTTCTTGCAGGTATTTGGGGATCTTGCTTCTGAGAAGGCACAGAAATGAATCACGTTAATGGTTATTGCATGCAGCATCTTAATGCTGCTCACTTTTGTTACTCGTACAAGCATTTATGCTACTTTATAAAGAATGTTTCTTTCAAAACAGAGCTCAGAAATGAAAACAGCATATTCACTTAGTCTGGACCATATTTTATAACAATTTCGATATTTGTTAGTGAAAATTGAAGCATGTAGTCCTTTTTCCTCTCTTTTACATAAATCCCCCCCCAAAGAAAAGGAAAGAAGTTAAAAATCTGAATGTATATTGCAGTGGTTTCCACGCTGTTCTGCAGCAGTAGTATTAATGCAGGTGGTGGATACGGGGCGGAACTTCGGTGTGTTCCCACAGATTGTTGCTCCTGAGTCACTCAGCTGGTATTATTAATCTGCTCATTAAGCTGTCACAAAATAGCATTCAGTTTGGTTACCTGCTATTTGCAGTGAGGGAAAGCATCTGTATTTTCTACCTTAATTTTGACAAAGTAGTAATACAGTATACCTAGGATTTTTTTTAAGTAATTCCTTGTGCTTTAAAGAAGCAATTTCTCCAGCTTCTGACTTTTTTTTTTTTTTTAAATACAAACTTAATGTAATCAACGAGATGAATTTCTTTTCTAAGAAATGTTATTTCCTCAGCATTTTTTCCACTTAGGGCTTTCACAAGAAAATCTATTTCCTGTATAAACCTCTATGAAATAGTTGTGTATTTGTGCAAAACAAAACCAACAAAACCCCAACAGTTTTAATGTTTAATGTTATTGCTGTCCTGTAATTGTGTATTTAACATGTATATTTCTTTGTTTGTTTTCAGCCGTTTGGAACAAAACCACATCAAAATCATTCCCCCTGGAGCTTTTACCCAGTACAAGAAACTTAAGAGAATGTAAGTCCTAATAATAAGGCCAACATGCAAGAGCAATTTTAAATCTTCTAGCTTCAAGTTCTGCAGCTTTATTTTAGAAGCATATTGGCAATTTTTATGTTGAAATCACTGGGGATTGCACAAATCATCTCTTCATAGTGTGAGCAACAGCAGAATTAGATTTAGGATGTCTACCAATGCATGAAATCCTTTATAATGCTTAAATTCCCTTTCAAAGGATGTGAGCTAATTAGTTAGTCTATTCAAACAAATCTGCTTACTCAGAAAAGATTTTGAATTCTATATTTTTCTCTTACTCATTCTGGTTTTTGTTCACAACACTCCATTGTGTTGACCCCAGTTACAGCAGGAGTACATGTTCCTGCAGAGTAGTTAGGGATATTTATATTGCATTCAATTGCTTGATTGTTTACAGGAAAACAAGCCTAGTGGTGCTCACTTTCTCAATTTCTCAATCACTGGTGGATACACAGACAATTCCTTCCTGATTAGCTCCTGTGTTGTCTCTGTGGATTTAACAAGACATTTTACAAAGTTTGATTTGTAGCAGCAATGCATATAAGCTGGTCGGTCCCCTGGTTTGTCTTGCTTTGTGAGAGACATTGTGACAGCAGAGCTGTGATTCAGACAGTGATGAAACATGTTACTCCTGCTTTGCCATCCTATCAGGATGTTGATGAGTACCACTGGACCTGAAGTTGTCCAGACTTTGTATTCACTGCTAAGACTGCTTACAAATGGTACCTCTTACAGCTGTTGTTTTCTAATGTGTACAGTGCTTTCTGGAATTAAGAAACTGTCAGCTGACTTGACAAAATGCTGCTGAATCATCAGAATGCTAATGCTTTTGGAATCTGATATGTGCTGCACCATTGGATTTGAGAGGATTTGAAATTACTGTTTGCTGGTCCAGAGTTATCAAGTTCCTAAAGCTGAAGAGCTGTAAATATGGATCTTAATATTTAACTGGTCAAATCATCAATCTTGCAGAGTCTATGTTCTTCTGTCTCACTTTCAATATAGCTGTATGTATTTTTAAAGAAGTACTGTATTAGATAGTGAGATAGTAATTTCATTGAAAAATGACAGATCCCTTTTCAGTGACCTAACTTGTAACTTTTTCATGATTAAAGGCACTAGTTGAGTTCTTGCTGAGGTATAACTAATTTTAGATTTGGGCAGTGTTTTACTATCCTTTCATTTTTCATGATTGAAAAGTGATATGAGACTTGACAAAAAAAAAAAAAGTTCTGTAACTTGACTAACTCCTCCAACCCAGTGTGGCAGTTATTATGTGAAATGATTAATATTAGAATTTCCGAGCAGAATTCCATTAGCAAGTTGTGTTAACAGCTTTCTGGAGTATTACTGGCATCATCACTGGGATCTGAACTCATATAATGAGTTATCCTTCCAAATGATCTCTGTCAAAGCTTAATTAACATGAGGCTGTTTTCTTCAAGACCTTGGGATAGTTAGGCTGCAGAATGTCCCATCATGAACATGATGATTTGAAACTTGGTTATCAACCTGTCTCCTTATTAAAGTTGTTTTTTTTTTTTTTTGCTTTTTTGGTTTTTTTTTGCTACTGGACAGTGAGGCTCTAGACCAGGAGTTATTGTTACATGAAGTTTAAAACAATTTGTCCAATGATTTGAAGAGATAATTGGCATTATCTTTTCTGTGTGCAAGAATCCCAGCCTTATTAACATAAGGTATATTAAAATATACCTTGGTCAAGAAATTGTCTCTTAAAAGACAAGAATTATCCATTCTTTCCCATTAAGGTAATACCAAGACATTCCTGGTAGCACCAAAGTCTCCATCCTTTCTTGATCACACTGTCATTTCAGTGTGTGGTGTAACAGCATGAAGATTATTGATTTTGTTAATTTATGCCCTATCCCCGGTACAAATGAAGAACTTTGTTATTCTTCTTATAGATATTACTACAGATATATTATTATAGATATTACAAATAATATTTTGATAGAACTCAAGGGATAATATTAGCACAATATCATGAATCATATTATTTTGTTCTACTCCTTCTGGTGGGCACATATGGTGGAATGCTAAGGATACAGACTGCTCATTTGCAGTGCTCTCAGTATTTTGATTGCTTACTGTTTCCTGCAAGATGATGCTATTTCCTTTTCTTAAATAATTAGATGAGTGGCACTGTTTTTTAGGTAGGAACCACTTTAATCTTTAAATGACTTAATATCAGTAGGTTGAGATTATACCAGAAGATGTATGTAGATTAGTTTGACTTTGTATTTGCATCTAGCTAAATTTAGTTATTTAGAAAGTCTCTTCAAGAGCTTCCAGTGTGACAGAGTGTTTGGTTGTTGGCAAAAGAGCTTAAAATGCTTTGTGTGACGTGGAATTCTCCTATTTACCCACATTTTATCAAACAGTAGATTATGTTAAGCTGAATGTAACTGCTTCAGAGGGCAGATTAGACACTTGTAGGATTCGAATATGCAGTTGAATTATTTAATCCAGAATGATGGTTCCCCTGATTTTGGGGAGAATGCATTGCTCACTGCTCAATCATTCAGATTCTAGAAGAGTACGGGGGGGCTTGAATGAGGTACATCACGTTTCTTTCAAGGGAAAGCAGTGATATCTTCACCCATAAATGCCGTTTTGAATATATTTATGTATCAACAGTTGTGCTAATATCAGTCTTTAATCATTTCCTTGCATTTTGTCTTTGCTTTTCTGAGGCTTCTAGTAGACAAGTTTGTAGCAGGTTGAGTTAAGTACATAACAACACTTTGAAAGATGTGGATGTGCCTCTTTAGCTCTAGTGCTTGTAACGACATTTCATGTTTTCAAATTCATTTTACTACATCTTAGCAGAAAAGACATAGAGATTTCACATTCTTCCCAGTAGCTCTGTGATGTTGATACTTTTTTTAAGCAGCTTTTAAAAACTAAACCACACATGACATGGCTTTTTACTGAGTACTCTTGTCAGATGAGAATAGTCCATCTTAAATGTTAGAGATTTTCAGGTAATCTCTAATAATGCTAGTCAACAAAGAGAATGCTCGTTCACTAATAGTTCTGCATTTGGCTGCATCTAAATATAAATGTTTTTTTTCTAAACCTTTCGCAGTAAAGACGTTTAAGCCAATGTCTTTGCCATACAGTCATATGTTATATATACTGTGGCTCACAGGTACACTTTATTCCCTGCTGCAAAGTCATCTGCAGTTTATGTATCTAACTGGTAACTGGGCACTGCCACCCACTGCCACCCTCCAAGGTGTGTTAAGCAGCCCTTTGAAAGCAGACAGTCTCTACTGTGCTGTCAGAGCTGCAGGGAAATGTGTGTGTGGTGACTAATGTATTCCCTGCCTGGGTGGAATCCTGATAAGTTTATTATATTTCCAGCCAAAGAGCCACAGTTCCACTGAGTGATTCAGCAATACCCTAAACTATGGAAATGAGCCCTATGAGACCTAAATTGACTTAATAGGTTAGAGAAACCCTTATCTCTTTGTCTTGATGTAAATCAAGCACAAAATAAAATGATCTTATCGGACAGCAGCAGACCAAAGGAAGAGAGCAAAAGTACAATGACATAATTGAATCCCTTTGTCTCAGTCAAATCAGAAGGAGATGCAGCCTCCTCTTCCAACAGCAGTAGATCCTGGCTCTAATGGAAAGGAAATAATGTGTCTAATTATCTTCTAATGCTGATTGTAGTGCATCTGCATGAAGTGGTAAGTTTCATCACTCAGCATGGCATTTATGCACGTTCAGGCACCATTCATTACATACTCATTAGCATCTGGACATGGGGAGAGAGAAAGGATGGAAATGCTGAAATGTAGCAAGTCAATAAAACAGTGCTGAAATACTCGTTTCCAATACTTGATTCCCCTTTTCAGATTCTCTGTTCAGCAAGCTGATGATTTCATTCCCTTGTAGCAAATCCTATTGTGATCCCCAATAAACAGCACAAATTCATACCAGACTTGTGCTTGTGAATTATAAGACAAAAAGCAGGAAGTACTGGAGATTTCAAAAGACAGAAAACTAAATATACCTCTTTTCACTGTCACAAACTTGGCTGCTTTGAGTTGAGCCAAGAAACAAGAAACCTTCACTGAATGCTGTCTTTGTAGGCAGAATGCTGTGACAGAAAACACTAGTAGGTTGCATAACAGTTATTCGTTGAACCAAAGAACTAAAGAAAATCCTGCTTTATTCAGCTAGATTTGAAAACAGTTCATTAAAATTGTATTCAACAGAATTTATACCTCATGGCATGTGTAGAATAGAAAGCATATTTATTTTCTAATTCCTGACTTTCTGTTCAAGTAGTGTTTATTGAGGATCTATCCAGGATTGTTAGCATCTGCCCTGGCAGAAGTTAGAGTAGAGATGTATAGGCTGAAAGGCTGCATTACTCCAGCTTCAGCTATCATTTAAATTATTTGATACTGCTGATAAAAGCTGATATGAACTATCAGTGACTGCAACGAAGTGGCTGAAAGTTTTGCCCTTAGCTAAGCACCTGGTTGAACTGATTGACAGAGAGGTTGGTTTGCAGTGACAGCCATAGTAAGGCTCCCATATCTGAGCATCTGTAAATGTGGCACCACATATGAAGAAAGGGTATTGCAGCCTATAATTGATTGATATATACATGGTTGGCTATGATTAAAGTATTGGAGAAATCTCTCTGGGGTTCCCAAAGTGGGTCTGCACCAGTAGAGCGTAAGACTTCAGTGGTCTGTGATTTCCATTCAAATACTCAAAACTTTTCCCTTCCATCTGAAAACTCAGTGCAGATCTGCCATTGCTATGTCAATTCTCTTTTCACCTACTGCACCAGATAAAGGTCCTAGCAGAATTTTGCACTGTTTGTTTTCTCCAGGCCATTAGAAAACAAGCATAACTTGTTCAAAGCTAAACTGTGACACTATCACCTGCTTTGGGATCAGGAGGAGGGTAGTCTGTTTCCCATTCCTTCTCCTGTAAGTAGCAAACTGAGTTTGGTGCAGGAGAAGTCCTACATCACAAGAATTTTGTCACCCTACGAATTACCATTATTGTTAGGGGTACAGTGAGACTAACCCTTAGTGTGATTTCCTAGGCTTTAGATGGGAATTTATTTCAGCTATACTACATGTTTCTGATATTTTAAGGATGCTCATCTTTACACCCGTTACCACAAAGTTTCTTTCTGTAGCCAAATGCTGTCCTGCTGCTTCAGAAGCCTTTCCCCAGTGTCTACACCATGCAGACAACATTAATCCCACCTTCTTCGTTAATATGTGTCCTGACAGCACTTTCCAATCACTTCAGAACATTTCCTCACTTTATCTATGATTTCACTTAAAATCAAAATATGGTCTGCTTGCTATTATTAAGATACCCTTCCAAGCCAATATTTAAACATACAAACCATCCTAAGCTTTGGCATAGGCTGCCCCTCATGCTTGAGGGACACCTTGCACAGTCACAGTGCCACCTCCTCTATTAAAAGTTCTTAAGATGTTTTATAAAAAGTTTTTATTCAGTGGGCCACTACCCTGTTGTTACTGTTAGAAGCTTTTCATAAAATTTGTTTCAATGCCCACAACATGACAGGCCTTACCTACAGGGGAGTTGCAGTGTGTTGAAGTTTCACCCTGTTGTACAACTGCTGTATTTTTTGTTCATTGCTGGAATTTTCCTGTCTGTGCCCCTGCGTAGTATGTAACTCCTCTGAGGTACTATCATGTTTCAGTTGCATTTCTGTATCAAGCATCTTCTTCCAAAGCTTTACAGTTATGTAAATATTCATGCTAAAATATTTTCATCCAATTCTATTTTACAAATATTCTTTTAATCCTCCCTTCTTTTTACAGAGACATCAGCAAGAATCAGATATCTGACATTGCACCAGATGCCTTCAAAGGCTTGAAATCTCTCATTTCATTGTAAGTAGAAAATAGAACTGAAGTAGTGTTTGTGGAGAGTATGTATGTAAGAGAAATGATGATGTGCTGACTGGGAGAACTTGTGTTTCTGTGTGCAAGTGCCAGCTTGGATGAAGCATCTAATCTTTTGTAAATGAAAAATTGATCACAAAGGCTAGGAGGTCATGAAGGCTAGAAAAAGGAATGGTTTACACATCTCTAAGAAGTGTATTTTTTTATATATTATAGTTGGATACCTCCAAAGTTACATACTTGTTCACTTCTTCAAAGCGCATGCATTACTTCATCTGCTGTACATGTGTACCTGCAGGCTAATCCATACCCTCAACTCATCATGGCACACAAAAGCCATCACAGCTTAAATGTTTTTGATGGTATCAGTCAAAGTAGATCAGGGGCCGATGCTTCCATACCAAAGTTCTGTGTTGTACAAAATTGAGATCTGAGCTTTTGTGGGTTTTTTTTCTGTGTTTTATTTTTATTGTAGTTTCTTCAAACTAGCTAGGGAAGAACCTGAGCTCTTAACAAAAACTTCGCATTTCTTAGCTGTAATTACTAATTATTAAACTGGAAAGGGACTAAAATACTACTTTAATCAGAAATTAAGATGAAGGTAGGATTCTTGACAAGCACTCATTTCTCATTATAGAACAAAGCAGCTGCTTGTAAGACCAAGCTGATTTCAAAATATTTCAACCTACCTATTCACCTCACTGCTAAAACAATGGAACTTTTTGTTGGTAAAAGAGAGTAATACAAGTTCAGAAGCTGCACTAGGAGAATGAACTAGAACAGAGTATTGGAAAGAGACCTAAGTTGAGACAAGAGTATAAGCTCAACTGTGCCAATATTTACTTGCATTAAAGACAGTTCAGAAACATTTAACTCATTAATATTCATGTCATATAGCTTGGTTTTTAAGGCTGTAGTTTATTCCCAAAAGCTGCCATAGTTGTATTCTCTGAATGCTGGGTAATTCTAACAACCTATAAAACTTGTTTTCTAGATCTAATATTAGAAGGCTATTCAGTACTAAATTTATGTTGCAAGGAAATTTTGAGGCAGAATGCAGAAGGATGGGTGTTTCATTGTGCCCTGAATCCAGCTGGGAAAATGCCAGAAATATATATTAAGTGTTGCTAGCCTTTGTTGAATAGTTAGAGCACTGTTATTCAACCTACTGTGGAAATGGCCAAATCCCTCAGTGCTGTCTGGAAATGATTCACTAAGAGAATGATATTTACTGAACACTACAGTTTTGGCATCACGTGATTCTGCTGATGCTGCAGTGCTACAGCTTTCTGGTCTTGGCAAAGCTGGCTCGAGTAAACTAGGCAGGCAAGAGGCTTCCACTGGGGCTGACTTCCCAACTCAGAAATGTTTCAGATTTAGCTACAAATACTTCAGATACCCCCCAGGAGTGGGAGGAGTGACAGGAGTGGGACAGAACACATTGGATTGGAGAGAGATGAAGTGAGAATATAAACAGGGCAGGAAGTTCCAGTGGTACGACTTGCACAAAGAAGCAAGTGAAGTGATTCTGTATTCTCTAACCAGTCACCCAAAACTGTGTTTTCAGTAAATCAGGCCAAACTGGCTTAAGTATGTTTATATCCAAGTGGATGGAATAGTGCTCAAGATAATGCTAGGAGATTACATACCAACTTCATGCTTGCCACTGGTTTTGCTTTCTTTTGAAAGGCTTTGCTCTTGCTGTTCTTTGCTGGTAGGTCTTACAGATGCTTTCCCTGTGGCTGACAGGCAAGAGGTAGTTTAGTTCCCTTCTCTTTCACACAGACCTCTGCCAGGTTCTTCTCTCCTGGTCACTTATCTCGTTGTTCTCAGATTACTGCTATGCTGATGTGCAGTATCTGGCTTCTCTGTCTTAGCCCTTCTCCTAACTAGAGGATGTAGTTTTATTTTCATCTGATCTCTAATACAGCCACCTGTTCTGTCAACCACAAGAAGACAAGTGCAAGGGCAGATGACTCCTTTGAAGTGCCAGCCCTCCCAATGAAAATGCCAAAGGGGAAAGAACAGGGATGTAGAAATGAAGTAAAACAGTTAGCTAACTAGCGTTTTCTCTTTTAAACAGCTGGTTTTGTGCCTGAGGACCCACTAACCGTAGTCAGCTGCATGCCCTAAAGGAACACTGCTGTGCATACAATGCTTCTGCTCAGCTGAGAGAAACTTTTTTATTTTTTGTGTATATAAGGCAGCTGTGATTGGTGGCATACATTTTAATGAGACACTGTTGAGGTTTAACCCATGCACAAAGCAGCTGGATTTTTCACTTTGCTGAATGATTGCAGTAGTAAAGGAGTGGGAAGTATGAAAGCGCAAATGAAAGCAACCAACTTTGTTTCCATTAAAAATGAAGTAGTGCTATACTTCCTAAAATCCATGCTTTTTTTCTCTTTGCATTATTCCCATTTTTAGCTCCTCCCTTTACTTCCAGATTGCATGCAATTGCAGTACTCCCTAGGGGTCCAAGAGAGTGAAAGTGCTCATCTGGAAGACAGCCAACATTGTTAGCCTAGCTGGCTAGTGGAGCCCTATGTATAGTGAGCTGCTGCTCTACTTCCTTCTGAAGTTAACCTAGGTTAGTGATTGTTTCTGAGAGTACTCTGCCTACCTAGGTAGAGATGGAAGAAAAAAACATGCATTATAGTTTTAAAACACAGGAATGTTTCTTGCCTTATTAGAAGTGATTTCCTCTAAAAATACTTGTAACTTAAATCTTTGAGAACTGCTTAGTGACCCACATTCTAGCAGATCGTAAGTTTTTCTTTTAAATCCGTGTATTTTCTCTATCAGGAAATCCATCAGTGGGAGTCAAACAGGTCACAAAAAGTTAACATTCCGAAAAAGCCATTTCTACCCTGGATTTTCTCTGCACTTAGCTGAAGAAAGGCAAACTTGCTCTCATAAGGATTCAGGGCCTCTTCGTTCCATGCACAAAGGACAAGAAATTATTTTCTCCACATCCATTTTTCTGTAGGAATTTATTCCCTTATATGTACAACAGCTCTGTGGTATAAGGATTTTCTGTTCCATTTTTCTTATCAGAAATATTTGGGGATGTAAATTTTTTAATTTCTTCTCTAAGAACATTTTCAGTTCTTCCCAGAGTTTTGTTGCTTTTCCTTCTCCCTGCCGTGTCACCTGCAGGCTGGGCTCTGTCAGTAACTGCTCACCTGTGAGTTCATTCTGCACATTCAATTCTATTACAGTTTCTGCAGTTCTCTTTCAATATTTAGGCACTGCAGCTGGGGTCCCTGGCATATTTTTGGTAGGGACGAAACTTTAATCCTCTTTCAGGACAAAATCAAAAACAGAAGAAGGCCAAAACTCCAATGAAGTCTAGTTTTGGCAGAACAGGCCTGTACAGTGCTGGCTCTAATGGCTGTTGTTGAGGATGGAGGGACTTACAGGCCAAGATATGGAAAAAAGTCTGTAGTTTTAAAGATGCCACTGTGGGATTTGGGAAGAAAAAGTTACATTAGGTGACTTCTATGGTAGCTGTTAGACAAATAATCCCGTTTGTCAGTGTGGAAGTCTGTGCTCCTGAAAAACTGAAACTGTTTTTGTGTCTCAAAGAGAAGATATGAGGATACATTGAAGGCTGTGAGCAATACTGTAGCAACACTGTGGTGTTTGGGAGCCCGTGAAGTATGCAAGATGAGAAATAAATAACTTAGGAAGAGTACACAGCAGGGATGTGAATGAACAGTGGCAATGTAGCCTCAGCTTTTGTGTTCTGGGACACATGTTCTTGTTATCTAATACTCCTTTCCATAGAAATGTGGAAGCAAATAGTACACTTGCACTGGGAAGCACAGCAAAAGAATGCAATATCTTAATTGTAAGCAAAAGTTTGAGAAATGCTCTGTTTGTAATGTCTTGCATTTACAAGTTACATAGGCTGAATTCTGTTGGAGTTGAAGTGGTTAATAACTGAGTGCAGAACCTGGAGCTGGGTTATGAATAGTTTCATGTTTCAAGATTGCTGCATGCATTTTCTGAAGTAAATTAATTTTTCATTTAATCAAATCAAAATCAGTTTGTAATATTGGCAAGAGAATTGTTTCAGCATTTGTTTATTGTTAATAGCATCAGAGATAAATGTTATTCTCAGGTCAGTAAACTTCCCACAAGAATACATTTGGAAGGCCATATCGAAACTATCAGGACAGTTTTTTTGAGCTGTGAATGAATACATTTCAGATTTATGCAGAGAGTGAGCTCCTCTGCTTTCATTCGTGAACAGAATTAAGCCTGTAAACAGTTGAAAAGCTTAGAGCAGCCTAGGCACAAAGATGAGGGACAGCTTAGGCTGTGGCACAGCAGCCCCGTTCTGACCATCACCTCCCGGCTGATGTATGCCGTGTCATTCCCAGTGATTTGAAATCTGCAGTAAAGCACTGTCTATTGCACTAACTGCCAAACTTACTTTAAGGTAACAAATTGCTTTGGATAGCTTTACTGTGATTTATTTAGGCTAACTTGTTATGAAGACGTATGAAATAGTACAGGAAAAAAAAAATCACGTCTAAGTTTCTATCAGATATTAGGAATTTATTGCTGGTTTTACCTCTATCAATTCCTTCTCTTTTGAAAACTTGAATTCTTACTGAGCCTGTGCCATTGTATGCAGCTTGGGAAATATAATTCTTCCTAGCAAGAATTGTTTTCACAGTCTGAAGGAAAGTTAAAAGCATTTTGAGGACTGAAAAAGACATTGCATAAAGTGAAAATCTGACACTTCAGTAAGAATGTCTGAGCCAAGCCAAAATAAAGGAACAGTTAGCTGGAAACCAGATGGCCTAGAATGAGGGATTCTGTCTTAGGCTTTCATACCCCAAAACAGCTCCAAGTCAAATCCCAGGGAAAAATCTCAGGATTCTGGGATCTGACTTACCAAGTAGCTATGTTGCAACTGCACTTGCAAGTAAGATATGCCAAAGAACTGTAAAATAGGGACAACACAGCAGCAATTT